TCTTGGGTGCAATCAGCACTAAATAAAGGCTGCGTGAGGGTTAAAAGATCTATAACCCAAAAAGAAGTGGAATCAGTGGATTACTTTTATAAAATACATTCTTAAAGATGACATAACATAATGCAATAATTATGTTTTGAGAGTATTCCCATTCAACCAAGTACATTAAAGTAATACACCAAATCTAGGTTAGTAGTTTGGATTGACCCGAGACCCGTTAATAATGCCCAAAGAACTTAGTAAGATAGTTGGATCAAAATTTAATAGGATTTGGGCTTGGTTTGGGCTCAAGTATTAAGTCATGGGGACAAGATTTTTATGAAATAAGAGGAAAAAAGACCTAAAGTGTGATTTTACCATTTTTAAATCAAGAGCTAAACTTCCTTACTTTATCTGATAATAACGTGAACCACTCCCATTTTACTCACCAATAGGGACGACAATGGATCTTGGACCCGACCCAAATCCATAAATCCATAATTGTTTTATAGGGTATGAATCCTAAAATTTTGGACCCAACAGAACCAAAAATCGGATCTGGACCCTCTTATTAAAGTACGGATCCGAGTCTGGATCTGACACTAAGATACCAAGTCTAGACCCGTTTACTCGTTTATAGAAAAGTCCATTGTTGATTTTATAGGATGTTGATAATTTAAATAGTGATGAAGAGTAGAACTCTAAGGAGGTAGAAGTGTGGTACTCGGCTTGCAACAATAGAATGTTTCTTGATCTACATTTTTAATGTTTGTGTTATCAAAAGACATTTGTGTAATTGTGTTGGAGTTTTTTTTTGAGACTTTAATTTATCGTTTTTTATTATGTTACTAGTCGTATTGAAATTAACCTTTCTTCCATTGGAGATATGTTTTGAAATTAGTCAATAACAATTTTATTACGTTAAAAAATAGATCGAATGGTCATTTATTTAACAGATCTATTGGATCTGAATATGGTTCCCAATTTTTAGACTCATGATCTAGGGCGGATCTGGATCTAATATGTGAAAATGGGTTAGGGTCTAGCTGGATCCAGTCCAGATCCGATCCGTTGCCATCTCTACTCACCAAACACTATTCCTTATTTCATCTTATTTCTCTATTCATCTTCCTATCCTTCAAGTAAAAATTTAGAGGATTCAACATCTAGTTGAGTTTGCCAAAGGCAAGGAAATTATTCTCCAATTCAAGAGTTTCATTTCAAGCCGTATATGTTAAGTTTTAAGCTTTAAACTAAAAATGGGTTTTAGTGAGGGTTATGAAATTTAAGGATTCCTATTTATGTTTGGGGTAGGATGAACTTTAAGAAGTGTTTTTAGACTCTCAATAACCTCATAAATAAGTTAGTAACATCATTTATTTAGGCATTAGTGAAAGAAAATGGAGAAGGGTCCAGAGTAAATGGAAAGAGAAGTTGATCCTTGGGTGAAATTGGGGAGTTTTCTTCAGCTAAATCATTAAGGTAACACTCTTCTAACCTTCTTATACCATTTGTAAGCCATACCATGCACTAGGTAACTTGCATTATCTTTGAAGGTTTAAGAGTATGTTCATGGCAAATCTCAAGTTTTAAGAGTTATTAAATTATATGATGCTTTCTTATGACCCTAAACAACTTAAGTAAGACACTAAAAATGTTTGAGAACCTCCATAGGGCCTTCGAATTAGTTAGGAATCTTTTAAAATGCCCAAATAGGACATTTTCGGGTGTCAGTATTGATACTAAATGACTGAGTATCAATACTATTCATAAGTAAGGCGAAAATCTGAAGAACTTAAAGTAGAAGTATCGACACTCATGCCTAGAGTATCGATACTCTGGGCCTAGTTTTGATACTCCCCATAGGGGTATCGATACTACCTTTTTCTCAAGATCTATTTTAAGCTGTTGGTATCGATACTACTGTGCCAATATTGATACTGATAAGACAATATCGATACTACTTTATGAGCAAAGGTAAGAAACTTTGGGAATTTTAGAATCATGGTTGAGGGACCCAAACCACTTTTTCATCCTTCAATAAGACGTTAAGTGAGAACGATAAAAACAAGTTAAATTTCACTTAGAAACCCTATAACTAAGGGAAAGACTTGCCTTGTGTGATGTTTGGGAAATAAAACGGACACCCGAATCACTCTAGAATAAGGAATGTTTTATAATAAGATTGGCCAACCCTAAGATTATGCACTAGGCACATCTTTGTTAACTAGACGTAGGTACCCCAAGGCTCGACGAAGCAAGTTAGCGAGTGACGCAATCCGATGTAAAATTTTGGATTTCCACCCTAGGTAGGATAGAGAGGTGCTTGAGCTCTGAGATGTAGCCTCTTAGTCACACCTTGATGCCTACCTTTGTACGTATGTGTTAGTTAGCATACTTGTATGATAACAAGTATGAATTAAGTATGTTTAAGTACGTTTTAAGTATGATCATTAGAGGATACATGTAGTTTAGATTGAGTTATTAGTGTGGCACTGAGCTTGTGAACTCAAAGTTCGGAATTTGTTTTTGTGCACAGGTTAAGAGCAGGAGATTGGAGAAGCCTTTATCTAGACCGATTAGCACTAGCCGCCAGCTTTTGAGCATGTCTCGGCTTTTGTATTAGTGGCATGTGTTTTAAATGAGTCGTGTATGTCAGGTCAAGAGTAGGTATTCAATTATTTTGTAAACTTTAATTTCAAACTATTTTGGGGCTCCCGAATTTGTAAATAAAATATTATGAATTTATTATGACAAACTATGAGTTTATTGCAAATGAACACGATATTTTAAAAGAAAAGTTTTGGTTGGGCACTCCGGTGGTCTGTGTGATGTCATAGTCCGATGATCTTTGGGTTGTACTGGATTAAAACATTACAATTAATCTTGATATTTTTTTCTTTTAATTTAAAACTATGGAAAGCGATATACCACCATAAAAAGATGAATTAATTAAGCTAATCATTGACATCAAGTTGGCATAAAAAGACACCACAATGTGTACTATGGGGGAATTTTCTTGTTACACAAAATGTTAATTCGAGATGAAAATAATGATAATAATAATAATAAATATTATTATATTATCGAACGAAACAAAGTAAATAAAACTTAAAGTAGAGGCAAGAAATTGGTTTATTCATATTTAGACATTGAATCGGATAAGTAGAGTAACATAAATCGAAGAAGAATTTTGTTGAGGCATGTATGAAGAGTTTCCTTAAAACAGATTCGTCCTCTCCTATGTGTTTTGAGTAACATTGGACGTCAGTCTCCCAGGATTCAACAACAAACGATCACAACAGTAAGCACAACGTAGTGGTCAGTCGAACACAATCTTGCATTTCTCTATCACCGGAAAGAAAGATTTTGAAAGGAATTTTCTAAGTGATTTTCTAATACAACTTTGTGTATTGTGTCTCAAAGTTGTCTCTCAAAGTTGTGTCTATGATTGTGCCTCAACTAATCTATTTATAGGTGAGGAGATATGAATCAAAGGTTGGGATCTTTTGATGAATAGTTAAAATATTTCGTGAAAAGAATTTGTTGAAAAACTAATAAGTATGATTAAATGGATGCAACTTTAAACTAAAAAAATAAGCACATTAACCAGTGACATGACTTATTATAATAAGTCTATTCACCAAGTGACATAATTTATTATAAATTGCATAAATTTATTCAATTAAACTATTATTTTCTAACACTTCTTTTGTACCTTAAAATGTTTTTCGGCACCTTATTAATCTGGCCCTCCAGTTAGAAAAATACAGCCTAATATTGATTGGGACAATGAAAAAAGGTCTTTGAATCACAGATAAAATAGTAAAAGACTCGATTTTGTGTTTACAAGTGTAGATGCATCCAAGCATACAATAACAACCTTCAACTTTTGAACAAGAGTAATTCATTAGTTGCTAGAATCAGTGGCGGATTCTTTCGAATTTATTTTTATTAATTTTTTATTTTAGTAACGTTTTTCAACTTGAAATTTTATTTGTGATTATGTATTTAAAAAATTTATATTATTAATATATAAATATTTATTCTAAAAAAATAGATGCAGCCACCGATTAGAAGGCGTCTAGTTTTAAAGGATGAAGATGGAGGAGGGTAATAATAGAGCTTTAGTGAGGTGGTGGGGTTAGAGAATAGGGACCAAAGCGTGCTGAGTAGTCAGCCAGACGTGGTGGTGCTGTGGTAGGCTTTAGTGGTTTAGCACTAGGTGCATAATTTTGTGAGCCCCATTGACATGTCTAATCATGGAAAAGGAAATTTTTGGCCCCTCTTTCCTTTTTATTTTGCTTTTGGAACTGCAACGTCTTGTTTCTCATTCTTTGTTTTTTTTTGGTGGGGTGTGGGGGGCAATGTTTTTAGTAACCGAAAGTCATCATATCTCTCGGTTGTGGCAGTTTTTTCAGTTGATTTCCTTTACCCGTTTTTGAATGCCCCTTGCCCAGTTTGTCCTTTCCATTCTGGGTCAATTTGTAGTATTTGCAAGCCGATTATTATTATCTTCTGGCAGATCGAACGGTTGATTTCGAACACCATCTCACTAGATTTCAGAAAGCCTGGCGAAGCCGTGAATATTATGTATTAAAATTATTTCATTTTTTTATAATCATAGTCAAGCACTCAAATTGTCAGCTGATCTGAGGGCTTCATAATCCTTTTTTTGATATGTACTAGTACACGATCAACGACCACATTGGACGTACATAGAATCTATATATTAGCTCATACAATGGTATAAAAATATTTTAAATGAAAAACAAATTTTATCTACTATCTGAAGCAACTTTGAGCAGATCTCCCTCTCTTTTTGTTCCAAAATCACTCCTCTTAGTAGATGCGCAATTTATAATATCTTTAAACCATGTTGGTACAACTTGCAAGCTGATATCGTCATCCAACTTTCCAGCCCATGCACTTCAGCCGATATTGTCTATGACTTCTTAACATGTGGTTAGGACTTAGGATATATGCCCACTCATGCCATATTTTTCTCTGAACAATCAATCTTATATTTATCTGCTTATGTTATTGGTTTATTTTATTTAATATATTTTTTTTGGAGGACTTCTCCGTATAAATGATGAGCTTTGACAATTAATATATAACAATTAAATTAGAGTCCTTGTCAAGTTGAAAATACCAAATCTTGGTTGATTTTCTCTACACTCCCCTACGTCGGCTTAGACTAGTCTAATCAACTAACATGACAATTAGAGCCGTAATCAAACCGATTCGAATTGAGTATTGTGAATTTAGGGATGGATCGAGGGGCGGGTGGGGACAGTCATCGCCTTAAAAATTTAAAATTATCATAAATTTTAATTTTTTCTATGTATTTCCAATTGAAAATATGTTTCGCCCCCGGAATTTTAGTTACCCATGGAATATTAGGCCATATGCCTTAAGTTTAAGTTCGCCCTCAACATCAAATTATGCATCCGTCCTTGAATGAGTTCCACCCGACTCGAAAACTTTGAAATGGAGCTCAACTCGTCTCAAGAACTCGCGATTCTAAAATTTTCAAGCTCGACTTGAACTCAAAATCATGAACTGAAACTCGTAAAAGCTAGAAAAGGCTCGAAATGAAAAAAATCTTAAACTTAACTTAATCGAAGCCTCAAACTCGAACATGAACCTTAAATACATGAAAACCTTATACTGTATTTTTATAAAAAAAATTAATACATAAATATTATTAATAATTCATTTTTAAAGATAAAATCTTAATATATTATATTTTCGAACTGTTCATGAGTTTTCGAATCGAATATCAAGTAGCTCGTTTCGGGTCGTTAAGAACTTAAGTCGAATCCATTCAAATCGAGTATTTATCAAGTTATAATCAAATTATTCTTGAATAGTTCTTTATTTATCTCGTCTCATTTACAACACTAGTGACAATAATCTCAAAGAGTTTAATTAATCAAAGACGCATGTACAGTTCGGGGATTTTCCCTCTCACTTTGCCGATGATTGTAATATTCTTTGTTTTTTTAATGAATAACTAAAAATCGCTGTTAACATCCATTTGGTGAATCAAAGGGGGGGGGGAGCTCTTGTTTGAATTCAGCGATTAGCATGAAAATGAAACATTATATGTCAAACTTTCACTAAAGCACTCTGCCATATTCCATATAAACTTTATGCCTTAATCATAAATCATAAACTCTGGTTAAAGATTGAAGTAGTTAAATAAGTAGATCATAGACATGAATTTTTCCCTCTAGATGGCACTCTACTTCCCCAATAAACCCAATCTATCCCCCCTCTTCCTACGTTCACCATGAAGTGAGGATTTCTTTTATTTGAAACCTAATAAATTAGTTTGGACGAATAGTATTTAGAACCCACAATTTTGAAGAGGAGGTCAAAAAGGTAAAGATAAAGGGGTCTTTCCCTTGTTTTTTTAAAATTATACATTCTAAGATCTTTATAGATACATTTATTCCACTTTTTTATTCATTAATTAAGAAAGATAAAAAGAGAAAGAACATCACACCTAAGCCACTTCATTATGGATGGATCAAAGAAAAGAATATTTGGATCCACTTGCAAGGTTCTTGGAATATAATAGTAGCACATTATGGATAATATGCAAATTGCCCAAAGATCGCATTCATGGCCAACATGTAGTATAGCCCCTCAAGGGTTTAGCATTCGTTGGGGGCACCGCCATATTCTCTGTTGGCGTTATGAAATCAGATGTATATGAATGCAAATCAATATATGTAGTCCTTTGATTCGTCCATGGGAAAAAAATATATATATATATATATATAGGATGCTTGATTAGAAACATGATTCCAAGACTGTTTGGTATACCCCCTTTGAAGACCGGCCCACCGCCCATCACCCTACCTACGATTTGATTCTCATGAGAGTTCGGCTATAAATACTCCCCCCCACAAAGGAAAACACAATTTCTATTCGTATAAATAAAATATAAAATTTTAAAGCTATAAGAATAATTCTCCTTCGTGTTGGAAAATAGTATAGATTTCGAAAATGTTTCAGTTCGTGGTAATTAAGACTTTGGTTTCTTAATATAATATACAATGGAGGAACTTACCGGGGATAGAGGTCATGTCCCCCAAAATTTGGGAAAATTGCCACTAGGTCCCCTTGAAATTTTTATAGTTTTTCATTTGACTCTCTTAAAATATTTGAATCTTTTTATCATTTTGAAATTATTAAAATTTCATATATATATAAATTAAATCCGTATCCTCGAAATATAAATGTAATGTATATAACTTATTTTTCATACACATAAACCTCAAATATGTGAATTTAAACTTAACTTTTTAAAATATTTAGTTTCTCCTGAGAGTAAAACCTTTGATATTGATGATATATAATTGCTATATACACACATTTAGTCTTGTTTATTAGATTTTTATTTCAGTATTTTTTTGTTTTTCCTTTTTATAGTATTTTCAAATAAAAAAATGAGAAAAATATATATTGAAGAAAACCAGAAGTTGATATTCCTCTCAATTTTTGAATTAATGAAAACGAAAATATTTAATTTCTCCTAAGAGTTTTTTCTTCTTCTGATGTCGCACTTCACGATGACAAATGGTTGGGGCAGATGGGATACTCCCTCCCCCATCCCCATACTAATATAATATTTTCAATACACCACCTACTCACCACCTATGACGAGTAAATTTTTTAAATCTACACCAACTCACGTGAAACCCTGTGACCACCGATAAAATGACACGTGACACTTTAAAAATTAAAACTCATTTCCCCTTATTTTAACAAAAACATATAACACATACTTACACTGGTGTAAGTCAATAAAATAAAAAATGTTGGTTTTGTTTTTTTAAAAATAAAAATAAAAATATATTTTTATAAAGTGTCACATGTCATTTTTTTAGTGGTCATAGGGTTCTATGTCACTTTTCGTGATGAAAGTGGGTGAACCTGTTAACTGCAGAAAACACCAAGTATAAAATCGAGAATTTTAAAATATTATGTATGAAACTAAGAATTTGATATACTTCATGTATGAATGGGGTAATTAACCCTATTCATAATGGTCTAAAATTTATACAATGGGTAATTAGTGGGCGGCAGGATACGGGGCGGCCGGATGCAGGGCGAATAAGGTCTCAAACCCATCACTTACCCACTACACACGGCATTTATGGCTTTTTACATTCACACCCACCCACTACCCACTAAACTTATACCTATTCCCTCTCAATTGGAGCGGTTGCGGTGCGAAATCCACGAAATTATACCCATCTTCCATCTCTAGCAGTAATCGGTGACATGACAAATAGGTTAAATTGGTTTTTTTTATCAAGTTCGAGGTTCAAATTGATATTTTTGAAAGTTCAAGGGCTTATTCGATTTTTAAGAAAAATAAAATTATTTTAATATTTAAAATATAAAAAATAAAAATAAAAATACTAAAAATAAAATTTAAATTACTAAAAAAATTTACCTCAAATTTAACCTGACTTTACAGAGTTATATCTAACAGAAATTGGTAGAATAACTCAATTTTCCTATTATTATTTTTTTGAGATCAAGTTTAGGCGAAGTTTACTTCTCTCTATCGTGTTAATTCACTAAAATACTCCTTTTAACCGTTGATCGCCATGACGACATTGTAATAGTCAACGGCGAAAATTATTAGTCAAATGATCATATTAGATTTTTTTATATAAATTTAAAGACTATATTGAGTATAAAAATAATTTGAGGGTGAGGTTGGTTTTTCATTTTATAACTTGCATGACTATATGCCTTCGAAAGTTTAACAGTGCATACTAATAATGACGATGTATATCGGCTCATCTCATCTCCCTCTTTCAATAGTCCTTTTACATTTGCGAGGTCAATTGATAGTCTTAGTGCTAAAGCATGATTTGTCGACTTACAGAAGATTTATCGCGAAGAAAAAAATGCATCGGGTATTACAACCGAGGCGGGTTCCCTACCGGATGGATCTCTTAATGTCTCTTCTTCGTTCCCAACACAGTTAATCGATATTTTGCATAGAGATATCGAAGATCCGACTTACTTGCATACAAGGTAACAAGATCCTAATGTAATTGATTTTGAACTCTTCTTTAGCATTCAAAAAATATCTTCTACTATAATTCGTTCCATTTTTCCATGAAAATCTCTGTGGAAGGATTGTCAAGAAAACAATATAGATCTATGTTTACTTTATAAAATCATATATAGGCGTGTTATTTTATAAGCAGAATTATTGTTAAAGTTAATTTAATAATTAAGCCATCCAAAGGAAGATGTCTGATCCAATCATTATGTATATATATGCGTTTTTTCCCATTTCATTTTCAAATTATAAAATAAGTAGCACGAACCAACTTACCTCAGTTGTTAAGAGAATCGCTGTTGTTCTTAGAGGTCATGGGTTCTCGAGCACCAACGGTTGCAGCAGGGTGATTGAGCATTCATTGTCAAATAATTAAGAGTATTTCGAACTAATACTACTTTGTAATCACCTTAGCTTACTCAAAAAAAAAAGAAAAAGAAATAGGGTAAACTACAAAGTTGATCACATTTGTTTCATTTTTTTTAAATGTATGGTCACTCGATAAAAAAATAATTAACACGTGGTTACTGAGACGTTAGTTGTCGCGAATTGGATGACTGGCTCGTTAGTAAAAAGTTTAATTTTTATTTGAACTCTTAAACTTGAGATAAATTACTAATTATGGGTCTCTTTGTAAATCCAAAATAATTCAGTGATAAAAATCAATTAACCCCCTTATTGTCACACCCCGAATTTAATTTAAAGTTTATTTTAATTATTTTAATTAATTAAGGGACCAAAATGGGTAGTTTTGAAAGATTTTGGGTCAACCTCGTAAGTTTGGAAAGTTTAGGGGCTTAGCCTTGAATTTACCCAATTTTCTAGTTAGTGAAAAAATGAAAAAAAAAATGGGAAGTTGGCGGCTGGGATGGATTAAACTCAAGACTTAAGGTATGGTCGGCCATCCTTCTACCACCTAACCTAGGTCACTGTTTATAACTAATTTAATAAATA